TCTAGGGCGGCCATCATCCACAGGCTCAGACCTCACAGCTCCCTGGGTTCAAACGGTCGTGCCACCCCTCGCTCGGTGACTGGACAGCTGGTCATTTCCTCAAGGAAGACCTCCTTGTGGCCCAGGTGGGGCCGTTATTTCTGTCTCCCTGGGGAGCTCGACAGATGTAATGAGACGATACACTGCCTGGCACATACTGGGTGTGCGACTGGTGCTCCAGGAAGGGTAGACCAGGAAACCCGTGGCTGTGGAGTCAGTGGGTCAGAGTAGAACTGTGCGCCCCAGGGTTGTTGGTGGGCAGCTTCGGGGAAGCAGGTCACCAGGCCTTTCTTCTGAAGCACCCATGAGTGGACTTGACCCTCCTTCAGCTTAGCGAATGAGCTGAGTAGCCATTTGCAACCCTCGAGGAGGACCAGCGCATAGAAGCGGTTGGCAAACACTGACAGGGCCCAGCTCAGCCTTGGAAGAAGCTGGGGTGGGGGGTGGAGAGTTGTCTTCAGGAAGGTGGCATGCCCACCGGGATTGGAGCTGGGTCCGGGTGCTCACCTCGGCCAGCGTGGTGTGTAGCTGGAATATCTGGCCCTCGCCCTCCACCTGGCGCACGCAGATCTTGCAGGTGAGCTCCGTGGCGGCCAGGCTGAGCCGCTCCAGCGAGAAGGTGCAGTGCAGGGCCTTCTGGCTGCCACTCCATATGTGACAGAAGGGGATTTCCTGGGGGAGGACAGGGCAGTGGCACGGAGGCGAGGCCGCCTCCTCACATCCACCCACCCACCCAGCATGCCTTGTCCCACAGGGCCACCCTCAAGAGGCCGGGAACCTCCGCAGGGCACTGCAGAACTCTCCATGTGGACCAATAGGGCCACCCTGCCCAGATCCTTGGGTCAGAAGGGAGCCCAGAGAGAGGGCATGTGTGAGAGGACTGAGCATGAGCTTCGTGGACTCAGTGGGGTCATACGGGAGGGCGGCCACTGAGGTCAGACCCACCCATGATCAGATCGGGCAGCCTGCCTGGGCGCAGCTCTCACAGGCAAGAGGGTGAGGCTTCCTGTGGGTGGTGCCCATGGTGCCCATGTGTGGGGCGGTGACGGGGAGGAGCGTGGGCATGGCCACTGGCGGCACCGCTTTTGAGAACATGCCCGAGGATGGTTGGGAGTAAGCCCAAGAGGCAACAAGACCCCGAGGAGTGGCACAGCTGCGGGGTGCGGGGCGGGGTAGCTGATCACACAGAGGCCCGCACTCACCTGGTACTTGGCCAGCAGCCTGCTCCTCCAGTGCGCATGGGGGACGTCGTGGAGGGAGAGGCGCAGGTTGTGATAACTGTCCTTGAACAGTAAGGGCTTGGGCTCTTCCACCAGGTAGCCCCCCAGCGTCCGCTCCAGCTCCAGCACCTCCTGAGGGCAAGGGGTGGGTCAGAAGGGACAGACTGTTACACTTGGCCAGTGGGCAGTTTTCTGCTACAAGCTGTTGGTGGGGGTGTGAGTAGGGGTGGAGGGAGGCGTGGCTATAAGATGCCGGCAGAGGGAGTCAGGGTAGTGAGAGTGAGGGTAGAGACCCATCTGAACCCAGGTGGGTAGGTGCTCAGAAGGCTAAGAGTGTGGACAGGAAAATAAATGTCTAGAAAAACCAATGGATAAAAGGGCAGATAGACGGATGGACAAATGGGTTTACAGGATGGGAAGATATGGGAGAAAGATGAGGTTTTCTAATCTTTTAAAGAGTTATAGTCTCAGAAACCCACCGGGGCTGTGCTACCTGTCCTATAGAGTCCTCATGAGTTGGGATTGACTTGATGGCAGTGAGTTCAGGTTTTTTTGGTGGGGGAGGAGGGGGGACAGATGAAGAGATGAATAGATGGATGAAGGATGAAGAGGTAAATAAGAAGGTAGATAAATGGATGGGTGTATAAACTCTTGGTGAGTGAAGGAAGGGGAAAATAAATACATGGATGAATTGTCACTAGACAGACAGATGAGTCTATCCACAGAGCTACCTAGATAGAAAGTTGGTTGCAGGATGGAAGGATGGATGGAGGGATGGTTGGATGGCTGGCTGGATGGTTGGTTGGATGAAGGGATAGATGGAGGGATGGTTGAATGGATGGTTGGATGGAAGGATGGTTGGATGGATGGAGGGATGGTTGGGTGGATGGTTGGAGGGATGTTGGATGGATGGTTAGATGGATGGATGGAGGGACGGTTGGATGGATGGTAGAATGGATGGTTGGATGGATGGAGGGATGGTTGAATGGATGGAGGGATGGTTGGATGGATGGAGGGATAGTTGGATGGATGATTGGATGGATGGAGGGATGG